GGCTTTTTGACAATTTTTGATAAAATTTTTAGAAGATTTTGGATAAAAGTTACGCGTCTCATAAAAGGCGTAATTAAAATTAATAGCCGACTTTTGCTTCAACTTTTTATTTTTAAGGTATCCCAAACAAGCACTAAACAACATGCAAACTACGTAAAACTCAACTGCAATAGATTCAAGATATATCATCATCCTAAGATAAAAATCCCATTAAGTCTGTATATTTATATAAACAGATGTATTATGTATATATATGTTTATATAAGTTCTCATACATAATCATCATATTACAGTACTTGAATAAAAGCATTACTCAATAGGGTTTTGGATTTTAATCAATTATCATGGATAAATAATTAATCTCCATTAAGTAACTGGATGGACCAAAGATCCTCCATGCTCCATATGTTCTCATTTGTTTCAGTGGGGAAAGGTCCATGGAAAGTTTGCATGTGTCCATCGAACGACGGCGTAGAGTAAGTTTCAACGGCATGATCAGGAGGACAGAAACTGGACATTTGGCTTGTGCTCGCTTGATCATGATGAGTTTGATCAAGATTTTGTCCTGTGAAAGTTTGATCAGCTTGCTTAATGTGCTTCTGAATTCTTGTCCTCCAGTAATTCTTTATTTCATTATCCGTTCTTCCAGGCAAATGCTTAGCAATTTTCGACCACCTGCACAAGATAATTGATTATTTTTAAGCACGAGTAGAATAAAATTGTTATTCAAGTCACAAGAAATGTAAATTTGTGCCAGGCATGTGCTGTGGTTGAAATTCAAAGTCTTTTGGCATTCTCCAATATATTTAAAGGAAACTCCAGCCATGAATTTGTAGCCTTCAGTTTCTACAAATAGATTTTTTGCTTGAATCTGACGTATATATTTCATGCAGAAGTGCAGCTGCATATAATTCTCATCAAAATATTCTCAGTATTCCATATAATATTGAGATGTTTCGAGGAAAAAGTTGGTGCAGAAGATGGAAATATGATGAATGGCTTCTTTGCATTCTACACAAACCAGGGACAGATCTAGGAGCAGATTACAAGCCGAACTAATACGTAAAAAAAGAAAATAACAGAAGAAAATTGTTTTCTACTAAAAAAAAATTCAATGGGCTAGGGGCTGGACCTGGCTACAGCCCCCCAATCCGTCCCTGACACAATATATCCCTCCACCACGAACTCTAAGGTGTTGAAAATATAATATAAACAACATATATTCTGTCTAACAATATAATTTTTATAAATAAAATAATTTTAATATTCTTAAAAGGCATATATTCAAAAAATCGTTACATACTTAAATAGTGTGCTCTATAAACATTACAATCTTACTACTTGTACAATATTTTTCTATAATTTTGGTTGACAATTCACACTTGACAACATCACATTTATTCATTTGAAAAACTGTTTTTTAAATCAATGGTTCAAATTTTGACAATATCAATGATGTCCACTACAACAATTGTACAAATATGTTAATTAAGGGTACATGCGCTCCAAGGAAAACTCAAAGTTGACTCATAGTATTGAACATGGCTCAAAAGTATTAAGATAAAAAAAATATATTATTTATTTTTTTTATCTTTATTTAATTGTTATTCTTAATAACCTTGTTTTCATTTTCTTTAATGCAAGAAGGTACTAAATCTAATGCGGAGGGCCCATCTGTCCCAAAGAGCCAAAAACATTATGGTAGCTGTCGATTTCAACAAGCAATTGGGAGCTACTCTTTCAATTGATAGCTAAGAAAGGTTAACACGTGAATAATTGAACATTGGGTTCGACTCAAAATAGAATTTTTTTCTTTCGTCCCAATCCCTTAGCCCCTCGTTCACAACGTGTTTTTATACTATCCCTATCCATTTTTTTCGTTTTTAATTTAAAATGATCATCCCTTTCAAACCCTTTCGCACTTAATAGTACGGATAAATCATTTTTTGATCAAGTTTCTCAAAATTCATTTTTCATAGAGAAAAACTTTTAACTATTTTCGATTTAAAAAAGATGGATCCATAAAACTGAAATGAATTATTTTCGCAAAAAAAAAAAAAAAAATGTTCACAACTTGTTTTTATACTATCTGTATACATTTTTTTTCCTTTTTTCCTTTTTTTTATTAAGACACTCGTTCCTCTCAAACCCCTTTTGCACTTGCATGTATGTATAAATCATTTTTTATCAACTTTTTCAAAAATCGGTTTTCGTAAAGAAACACTTTAAAAGCAGGCATATTCAAATAAAGTAAGATGAATACATGAAAATCATAACAAAACATATTATTATTTTTTAAAAAAGGGTGGAATCAAGAAATTTTTGTGGCCATGAAAACCTTATTCAATGATGATCCTTTTGCCAATAATTATTTATTGGGCAGCGTATGGGGCTTCAAGACACAAAAGGCACGAGGCTAAAAAGAATTGGTGGCTCCTATTTCTTCTCATAACATCAACAATATTCATATAAACGTGTATCAAAATCTTGGCGGAGAACAAATTGCCGTTTTCATAAATAATTTTTTTAGTTTTCTATGAACTTACCTGTTTCCCCACTTAGCATGCAGCTCCATAATCAAAAGTTGTTCCTCCGGCGTGATATTCCCCCTTCTAACGTCCGGTCGAAGGTAATTCAGCCACCGCAGACGACAGCTTTTTCCAGTACGCTTAAGCCCTAACACAAGTCATGAACAAAACCATTTTTCAATAGAGTTTTCTCCAAGACAAAAGATTTACACTTCGACCATGTACTAGAGTGTAACATGAAAAGTCTTTTTTCATTAGAGTTTTCTCCAAGAAAAAAGTTTTACACTTCGAACATGTACTAGAGTGTAACATGAAAAGTCATCAGTGGAGTGATACGAATACCGGCAGCACGAGCCAGCGAATTCCAAACGCCTTCGCCGTGATTAGCAATATAATTCATGAGAATCAGATCTTCTTCCATGGTCCATGGTCCTTTCCTCACTTCTGCATCTTCAGAATTATTGCATGGTTTCTTGTCCATTTTGGTAGAAAGAGGGAAAATTCTAGTTAGAGATGTGATATTCTTGAAGAAAAATAATGGAGAGATGGAGCTCAATTTATAGTAAATGAGCTCTTAATTGACGTCATATATATAATTATAATATTAATTATTGAAACATATGCATGCATACATGATAACCAAGTATGTGACCATGCATGTTCGAGTAACGTTGTTGACATGCTACATGAACAAAATGACATTGTTACATATATAATTCATTCGTTATGGATCTATATATGTTACATAATTTGTATTGATGTTGTGACTATTAATTATTTTTCGTGAAGAAAAAAGAGTATCATATATTTGTTAATTTCTAGTTCTCTCGAGGGTCTAGAAACTTCCCACTACATCATATTATTAGTATTTATTTTTATTTTTTTGATGCAACTTCTTGCTTTGTTAGACCGTTTCATTAAAATATATTTTTTCGAAAATCATCCCTTTAATTACATTACTTCACGAAAAAAAATGTTGGGTGCCTGTTACAATATAATATATCTAATACCATACATTTGAACATGTTGACAACGCAATAATCCTACAAAAATTAGGTTTAAACAGTTGTAATCCACACAAATTAAGGTAAGACAGGAAGGTACAAAATCCCTTGTACTAGATTATGAATTGTTGTCCAAGGAATGCTACGCTGGTAAAGCAGAATAACCCTCGTTGTCTAACCTCATGGAAGAATAGTGCAAAAGTCATTTGTACAGGGTCACATGAACTCCCCCCTCCTATGGCAGGGGGACAAGTGTCCCCTGGCACCCCTGTACAAATAGCACTGCCTAGAATAGTATTTAGTGTTGAAAGACTGATTCCTTATTACAATGATCCATGCACCATTCACAACCGAACAATGCTGCTCTACCACGTCTGGTAGAGCAAAAGCACTCACATGAGGAGGACTCACCTCATTAAACCCCCCCAAATATTAAACACCCACCCCTATCTCACATTTGCACTGCCAAACCTTTTACAAGCCAGACAGTGAAGCTCGGTTCTTCACAACCCTAATATTATCTTCTTAATTGTCCTCATTTACAACTTTACAGAGTTTGACATTTCAAGAGAGATCCAAGGAAGCAATTCTACTTTAGGAAACTTAAATTTTGTGATTGTAATGCATAGATAATTAATAAAAACTGATTGAGAGTTGTATTTACATTGGAAAATGGGTTGTTCGAATAGAACAAAAATATCTATCCACAATGATCAAATGAAAGTTGAATCTATATTGAACATCATTTGAATATCCTCATCTATTTGTGGAGTGGTTCCATTCCAAACTCAACTTTGAATAAAAGTATGCCGTGCTAATGTTCTTTAAACGACTCACATTTAAGGGTCAAATTTTGACAAACACCTTGAACTATGTGCGTGGTTGAGATCTTTCATAGTCCAATCACAATGGCAAAATTTGTTGGGGCGCATTCTACCACTACACTAGTAACTCGTTGTACGAGCCTCTACAGAAAGTCACCATGTCAAAATTATATAGATTTGTGAAAAAAATCGAGATTAATGACTCTAAAGCTGTTTTCTAACAATTTCATTTTTATGATACATCGTCAATGGAAAGATACATCAAATGGAGGAAAATTTTGTTTCAAGTATTGATACGAGAGACCTCGCCTGTCAACTATACCATGCACGTATCAATATTTGATTCCTTCGATATCATGTCAACAATTCTAAATTTTAGTACAGATTAAAATCAACAATTACTTTTTATTATATATTATCTATAATTTTTCAACCATATACTTCATTAATTTTTATCAAAATTTACTAAAAGCTTGATTTTAATCCCAACCAAATAATACGTATTGAACTAAACTAATATCTAAAATTAATCTAGACAAAAATAAAAAATAGACAGCCAAGAAAATAAAATAATAATTTATTGCAAAACATTTTTGTAATGGTCACAATTTTGTGCCGTCGATACTTTCCTCTAGCGTGTGGTAATGGCAGCTGCTACTTGGCTCAATTCTTCCGCGCTTTCTAACGTTCTCCGCCCCTATCTCCGCCCTAACTACCGGCGGATCCACCGGTTCACTTCAACTTCTCCGATAACTTTCTCCTCCGGCAACTATAAACCTCCAGAACCGGTGGTTCACTTACGGGCTCGGCGAAACTTATCTTCCATGGTCAAAGAAGATGAAGTAGCTTCTCGTAAGGAAAAATGGTGAATTCATTTTTTATTATTGATTGTTAGTTTCTAAGCTAATTGTAAAAGTAATATTGGCAATCGGATTCTGTATTTTATTTTATTAATTTACTGCTTGTTGGTAGCTGATGATTTGCATTTTGAGGGGAGGCTCAAAGTAGTGGAATATCCAGACCCAATATTGAGGGCGAGGAACAAGCGAATTAATACCTTTGATGACAGCTTAAAAAAACTCGTAGACGAAATGTTTGATGTAATGTATAGGTGATTTCTCTTCACTGTCAATTGCATTAGTTGGATAATTATTTCCTAGTTTGATTTGATTGTCTATTAGTGGAGATCTTTTCCAAGATTTACCTGTCTAACAATCAACTACAAGAGTCAGTTTTTATGAAACTGATAAATAAAAATTCTATAATATTGCTAGATAAACAGCACGTGTATATTTTATTATTTTTTTTCCAGATTCATGTTACTTACTGGATGTAAACAATACTTGTTGGCTTCTCTTTCCACAGCACTGATGGCATTGGGCTCTCGGCACCCCAAGTGGGGGTTAATGTGCAACTCATGGTGTTTAATCCAGATGGTGAACGTGGTGAAGGAGAAGAGATAGTTCTAGTAAATCCACGTGTTAATAGATATTCAAGAAAGTTGGTGCTTTACAACGAGGGTTGCTTGTCCTTTCCTGGGATATATGCTGATGTTGAGGTACATATAACTAATAGGATGAATAGATTATGGTTCAGAGTGCTTTCCTTAATTATTTTGATCGTGCTTGACTGATTGCGTTTGGAAATATCTTCAAGTTTGATGTCAAACTCATTGTGGATTGGATTTGGGATGATTACCAAGTCGTTTGTTTTATTTGGATGAAATGTACCAGTTTTCCTTGTAAACATGCACTCATTCCATCTACAATGAACTAATTATATATGCTTACTTAGGTACTAACACAAGAATTTTGAGATTATGGATTAAAATCCATTTTCATAATTCCAAGCCCTTTCTTGGTCCCCATTATTTGCAAAATGTATTTTTCTCTCTTATTTTCAAGCGCACATTCTTTAATAAAATAATATTACAAGCAAATCCAAAATTTTTCCGTCTTTTTTAACCACACATTTTCCATCAAAATACTATTCCAAAATGCATTTTGGGCAAAAATAGGGCTCAAACATGCTCAAATGAGATGCTTATTGTTTGTTGCAAGTGGACTGGAACACAGTTGTGGGATTGCCATTCGCAACACATGTTGCCTTCACTTGCTAATCTATTCCTTGCTTATGGTAGAACTCGCACGATCTAGTGGAGTACAAAAGAGGTCACTTAACTCTCTTCCCTTCATTATATGGAATTTCTTTTGTGGAAATCAGTATCCCTAGACAGATTTGTTCAGTCTTCCTCAATTTTTTAGCCATTGCGCTACTTTATGAAATATCATGACACGATATGAAATGTGTTAACAAACTGAGCAATATGGTCTAGTTAGTTATGAAAATATGCTATGTAATTATGTATCTTATGTAATTAATTTGATTAGCTTATTTGTTGATTATAATTAGCTAGATTAGACAGGTATTCCAATAGATCAGCTACAGTTTAAAGGTTTGTTAGATATAATGTCAGATACATTTTGTATAACTATGTTGTTTACATATACTGGAATCTGTGGCTCAGCATTATTTTCCATCCTTGAGAATATTTACTTTTCTTCTCCATTGACCAGTATATCATCAACATAGATAAAAACAATTAGCATTGCACTGTTGGTGGAGAGAACAACATGGAAGAATCAGATATGGAAACTTGAAAACCCCACTTAAGTAGGCAACTGCTAAGCTTATTTTACCACGCCCTCGGAGACTGCTTTAAGCCATAGATAGCCTTAGAAAGTTTGCAAACGAGGGATTGTGGTGCTAACAAATCCAGGAGGTTGTTCCATGAAAAAAACCTCAGTTAGATCCCCATTTAAAAAGGCTTTGTGGACATCCAGCTCTCCTAAAGGCCAGCGAAGAGAGAGCAATTGTGAGGACAAGTCTAATGGTGATCGGCTTAACAACAGGGCTGGAAGTCTCAAAGTAGTCAGTGCCTTGAGTTTGATGATATCCCTTAGCAACAAGCTGTGCCTTATACATCTCAATACTGTAATCAGGCTTAAACTTCGACATATACAACCAGTTACACCCAATATCCTTGTGAGTAGCGGGAAGAGGAACTAGATCCCTAATGTGGATCTGCATTAGAGCCTGATATTGAGAAGGCATAGCTTGTTGCCCTGATGGGAAGAGGCGGCTTGCTTAAATGCATGAGGTTCCACAAATTTTTTAATGAGTATTAGCATTTGCAACCGGAGTTAGTGCTGGATCAGTAAGGGGAACAATCTCCGATCTTCCCGATTTAGAGAAAAGGCTGGATTTGGGATGAGAGCTGGTTTTGGCTCTGTATTTGGTTTCTCATAAAGTAGAGCACACATTTTCTTGGTTATTCACTGGTTGGGAATGGATGGTGTAAGCATGGGGCATGCAGCATCTTAAAGTGGAGTATGGTGTTAAAAGGCAGTTTATGGCATTATCATTCACAAACTAAATATCTGTATTTTCTGATTGATCAACTCTTTAGCAATTTATACCACTCATACCTTATCAAACTCTTTTCACCGTGTAGTTTGGTAGTTTGGTCTTCGATTAATAGAAGCTGCCTTTCATTTTTATGCTTCAGAGACCAGATTCATTGAAGGTTGATGCACAGGACATTCTTGGTGCCAGGTTTACGGTTAACTTGTCGGGGCTTCCTGCACGAGTATTCCAGCATGAATACGATCATCTGCAGGTTTTATATTCAGGATCTGTTAATTTTTTTCTATTGCTGGCTCAGAATGAAATATAGCCTGAAAGTTTCACTAAAAAGAGTTTACAGTTGCTGTTTGGTTATGGTTATTCTCTCTGAACAATTTTTAATGCGGATTTAGCTTCAAAATTGCATTTAATTATATAGAAGATTTGGCATACGTCTTACACCTGACTTGGTTACAATGAGCATTCGGTTGATTCCATGATTTTTGACAAAATGGTCGTCAGGAAAGTTACGCTTACATTCCCATAATACCTTCTGTCCCACACACTACCGAAGTATTTGTAAATTAATCACTGAACTAAAATGCAGGGCATTTTATTCTTTGATAAAATGAGTGATGAAGTCCTTGACAGCATCCGTGAAGATTTACAGGTAAGTGTTGCTTACTCTTGCATGTCTTGATCTTTATTTCTATCGATTATCTTCTGATCATGGACGTTAACATCGGCATTAGAACTATAAATTGCTTAATGCACTTAGCCCCTGTTTGGTTTTGCTAATCTTTAACCCAAATTTTTATCAACATTTTCAGCTACAACAATTATGAGCTTTTAATGATATTGGCAGGCCATGGAGAAGAGATACGAGGAGAAGACTGGCTTCCCAAGCCCTGAAAGAATAGATGCACGCCGGAGGAGGAAGGCAGCTGTTGGGTTTGGAAAGTCGTGATTTTGATAAACCAGTTCTCAATCATACACTTTGAAATTTGTAATTTTTATGTGATTAATTATAATATATCAAATTTTATGTGCTTAATCATAATTAACTTAGTCAATAGTCAGCAAAAAGGTCCTAATCGATTTTTATGGAAAATACTTTAGTAAAATTCTATAAAAACCTATAGTGTTTTAATATGTACTTTTTTGAAATAAATGTGTCTTATTTGTCTTTCTCCATCATCTCGATTCCAAATCAATTTTTTCCGACTTGGAACTTAACTTTAGCAAGGCACTAAAACGAGTTAACGATTGAATATATTTACTTGAAAATATATTTAATCGGTGATATGTTCAAACTCGAGAGTATGAAATTCATTCTACTTGTCCTTAGCTCTTTAGGAGCCATCAATATTGTGGTGGCATGTACCAGGACGAGTAGTGACGTATGGTATGTTCCTCTTCATGGTTGAAGCCTCGAAGGGAGGACAACATTCGAGTCATTATAAATATATAAATCTCCTCGAATGAATAGAGGTTTTGGCTTTAATTTAAAATATAAGAAACAATATAAAAGAAAATCCTATAAGCAGTTTTTTCCTTCCCTCTCTCTCCAAATCCCCTCCTTGACATGCTAAATCGTGCTTGAGCAAATTACTTAATAAGCAATGTTAAGAATAAGTTACTTATTTTGCTCAAATATAAGAATTATCTTTTTAAAAGTAATTTTTATCATAGAGTAAAAGAAAAAAATAAATTATTCAAAAATATTTAAAGAAAAATAACTTTAATTCTATCTCCTTAATCATATCTTCTTGACCCTCTCAACAAAGTACCTAAAAGTCAATATAAAAGTTTATAATTAAAGATGACTTATCTTTACTCGAGAGTGGAGAATTCTTACACATGCTCTTACTTTTCTACATGCCTAGACTTGAGAGTACGAAATTCATAATACTTGCTTTCAAGCTTTTTCACTCGTCCAAACTCGAGAGTATGAAAATCTATTCTACTTGCTCTCAACTTCTCCAATTTCACACACGTGCTTCCACACGTGTGAACAATCATTAAAAATACTCTCATGTCATACAAGCTTTCCTATCAAATTATAATAAAACAAAACTACCTTGAGAAAAAAAGAAGATTTAATTTTACCCATGATCACTGAAATTTGTAAAAAAAATTCAAAATGGTAACTAAACTAATTTTCTTAGTTTAATTAGTCATTAAAATTTATAACGACTTTACAAATCATCGTCCGATTTGAAAAAAAAGTACTGCGAAAGTGTAATTGTCGTTGTTCAGTGTCAGCGTTGACTGGTATACATTATTCTTTATACTACACAAGACATTATCATTTTTTTTCATAACAAATTTGTAGGCCAAAAAAGATGTGGCTTTATTTTGTGTGAAAATTATGTCGACTATTATTCTACACTAAATTTTAGGTCTTTTTAACATGTACACATAATCCCTAAGATTAGGAGGGAGGACGGTTTGATTTTCTAAGAGAATCAAATCAAGAATTATCAGATGTCTTATAAATAGAATCATCACCCAATTTTACTTGAAAAATTAAATCGAATTATGATTCAAATTTTAACTTGGTATGATTTGATTTGAGACTTTTATCATGTACCTTTGGAATTAGTGACACTTAAATGTCACTTAATGCCTATATAAAGAGTTTTATGTTAATTTTTTTAATCAATTATCATAAAAAATATTAGTTTAGAGCATGTTTGAGCCCATTTTTTTTTATCGAATGCATTTTGAAATAGTATTTTAATGAAGAATGTGTAATTAAAAAATAATTAAAAATTTTGAGTTTGTGTGTAATGTTATTTTATTAAAAAATATATAATTGAAAATAAGAGAAATAAAAATGTGAAAATCTTCAATTAATTTCACCCTGGGCGCGTAGGTTCAAATCCATTTTATGGTCAGTGCCAGCTGCACAGGTTTTTACTCAATGAATACACCAAGGTCCCTTGCTGCTTTGTGCTTTGGGCTCTTGACTCTTTCTCGGTAGAGAGAATCTCTTATTCAGTTAAGAATTTCTCATTTTCTCTCTCTCATTTCTCCCTTTCTCTGCCTAATATCTCTAATTCCTATGTAGGTAAATTTACTGTATTTCGCGTGACCATTTGTTTTCCGTCTCTATAAATTCTGGTTTCCAATTTTTTGTTTTCTTGAATTAATCATCTGGTCCTGCTCATCACTGCATACCATCGTTCCTCTTCATGGTTGAAGCCTCGAAGGGAGGACAACATTCGAGTCATTATAAATATATAAATCTCCTCGAATGAATAGAGGTTTTGGGTTTAATTTAAAATATAAGAAACAATATAAATGAAAATCCTATAAGCAGTTTTTCCTTCCCTCTCTCTCCAAATCCCCTCCTTGACATGCTAAATCGTGCTTTAGCAAATTACCTAATAAGCAATGTTAAAGAATAAATTACTTATTTTGCTCAAATATAAGAATTATCTTTTTAAAAGTAATTTTTAACTTTAAGAGAAAGAAAAAATAAATTATTCATAAATATTTAAAGAATAAATTAATTAAAAATAACTTTAATTCACATTTAATGCAATCTCCTTAATCATATCTCCTTGACCCTCTCAACAAAGTACCTGAAAATCAATATAAAATTCATACATATGCCCCTTACTTTTCTACATGCCTGTACTTGAGAATATGAAATTCATAATACTTACTTTCATGTTTTTTTGTTCGTCCAAACTCGAGAGTATGAAAATCTATTATACTTGCTCTCAACTTCTCCAATTTCACACACATGCTTCCGCACGTGCGAATCATTCCCTTCAAGGCTTCAAACCACATAAATTAATTTATATGCGTCAATAATCATTCAGAATACTCTCAAGTCATACAAGCTTTCCTATCAAATTATAATAAAACAAAACTACCTTGAGGAAAAAAAAAAGATTTAATTTTACCCATGGTCACTGAAATTTGTAAAAAAAATTCAAAATGGTAACTGAACTAATTTTCTTAGTTTAATTAGTCATTAAAATTTATAATGACTTTACAAATCATCATTCAATTTGAAAAAAAAGTTCTGCGAAAGTGTAAGTCCCTGTTTGATGGACCATGTTTTCCTAGGAAAAAGAAAAATAATTTCCAACTTTGACAAAATGTGGTGTTTGATTGCACAAATTTGGCCAAGAAATTTTTTTCCCTCCCCCCTCCCCACGTGACCCTTTTCCTTGGATTTAGGGAAAATGCATTTTCCAAGTCTGA